TGTAGGTTGTGTCAGGCGCTTCTGTCCGCCCCCCCTCCTCTGGTCGGTGTTTGGTCCGTCGTCCGTTCGCTTTTTCTTTTCCTTTGCCCTTTCAGGGTTTGCCCGCTCTGGGCTAGGTGTGTTGGTGTTGGTGTTTTATCCTTTCTTCTTTTGCGTTCCCCGTCGTTAAGTAGCTGTCATCTCATTTTCATTGTCATCTCACTTTCATCTGCCCCGCTGCTGCGGGGCGTGTGAGTGAGTGAGTGTGTGTGTGTGTGTCTGTACCATCTGTAGAGATGTAAAACTTCCTGATGTTGCAGGGGGCATGGCAGCTGTTTCCCTAGCCATGCCAACGAAGCTATGGGATTCAGCCGGAAGGGAATGTGGACACACATTCCTGTACCTGCATATATAATATAAAATTGTCCCGCCCCTGGGCGCATATAAGTCGCAGCTGGGGGGGACACATATTTTATCGCTGTTGTTTTACATGGTCAAGCCTACTGTGATTATAAGTCTATATATATATATATATATATTCATCTTGTCATTTAATTGTTGGTGTTTTTGCACGTAAGATGCTCTCCACAACCGAATTCGCAACGACAGTTCTGAGCAAGTGTGTGTGTGAGAACCATCTGAAAAGATGTAAAAGTTCTAACTTGTGATTACTTGACTTGCTTCTAGGTGTTTGTTTACGCAAAATTATTTCAACTTGCAGGGTGCAGGAGCGTCATCGTAAGTCTCCTGCCAACGCAGACACTTACCATTGACGGTGATACCAGACTTGGCCAGTCTGGCGTACCTGCACTGTTGTGATTACCTGTTGTTCAGGGCCTGCTTCCATTCAATTTTATTTTGCAATCAGTGCTTGTGAATGGCAACCGGCTAAGCCCAGAACCGGAAAGACGTCAGTTTTGCATTTCTTCAATTTCCGCTGCCACTCCGCTGCCACTACTTTTCTGCACGGTTTTCGCAATCTGATTGTCTCAACATTTTTCTGGCTATTTCAGCCGCACTGGCTATGGCGATGGTAGCTTCCTGCAATTTTGGCAGGTCACTTCATCAACCCATTCCTGTCAGGTGTAATTGGGGTGTTTTGCACGTAAGATGCATTCCACAACAGAATTCGCAACGACAGTTCTGAGCAAGTGTGTTACTCACGTCGGTTCGACAAGATGCCGTGAGCCCCTCGGGCAATACCTTTCCAGGTAGGATGTTGGATCCTCCGACTTGATCTCTGGATTTACACTTTTAACCTAGTAATTCGTTTAAGCAAAGTGGAACAGTTGGCCATTTTTTTGGGTGTCACCTTGTCGGTCGTTTTGGTTAAACAGCTTGCCGCTGTGATTGGCTTCTCCATTTTTAGCAACGGGTGGTTTGTCTGCTGTGGAAACGCATTCTTTTTCTGAAACCGTGGAAACCACGACTACAACTACAATTACATTGCGCTTCGCTACACCACACTACATCCTGCAATTGTGGGTGAGGTGACCACTGCAACCACTCCAAAAAACACAACCACCTTTCGGTCCATCAATGGATTCGCTCTGCCATCCATGCATCGCAACAACTCACCTCTCCTATAGCTTCCTATCTTTGAAACTGCGGCCACCGCCTTCTGCGGTACTACTGGTAGTGTATTGCTAGTGACTCACGTGATGGGTTGCACCAAACTTGAAGCCGGAACCCAACAGTTTCCAACGCTGGGAATGCACAATTTTCCAGTCCAATTTCCGAAGGGGTAAATCTCAGATTCCAAGCTGTTCCCAACTGTTCCCCAAACTGGTACCTCCAGGAAAATGTTTCCCCATTGTCTTTGTTTGTTTATGTGTGTGTATAGACATATAGACATATATGGTTGTTTATTCATGTTGAACGGGTGTTTGGTGGTAATGGCGAATGAACAGGGATTAGCTCAGGCTGGAAACTGGTCAGAAAAGGGGTATGTCCCCTTTTTGAGGTACCATCTCTGTGGACAAACTGATATTGTAGGGCGATTTTTCCCTCCAGTTAACCACTATAGATGTGGAAAAGCACTGGTTTCCATCCCGTTTTTTAAATAACATCTGCGTTCTCCAAATCAAAATTCGTATGCTGGAAGGTCAGATCATTTTTTTTCAGAATTTGTCCAAAAATGAGGTATACATTTTACATCCCAAAATATGGTTCTTAAAGTTATTATCAGTTTCCTGCATGAAAATAGCTGGTGTTGAACAAACGATTTCGCTGGAGGTCCGACAGTGTGGCTCTCCTGGCAGCCGTCCATGAAGGCTGAGGGTCTGAGGGTTGCTCTCCAGGAAACATGGGGTGAACATGCAAAAAATGGAGAGACAAGGGGGAAACACCAGGAAAAAAAAATAATTGATTTATATTGATTTCCCATATATGTTACTTTACCTTTAGCGTATAAATGATAGCCAAAGCGGAACATGGTCATTTTGGGCTCACTATTTACCAAATTGTTCATGGCTGTCTGGGGTCTTGGGAGCAATCCATGGGTATGGGTTGGGTTATCCACCCACCCACTGACAGCAGATAGTGAAGTGGCATAGTTTTAAGATCTTTGGAAAATTCAGCTGGATACCTCCATTCAAGGGTATGAGAAAGCAACCAAACGGGATTTCCGCAATAGAATGCTCACTTAACAAGCTTCGCAGGACTAGAGGAGATACCTTACTTTTTATCTAATTGTTTGTTTTCAGAGTGTGGAGTTTTGAGCTGCATCCACGTGTTCTTCGTGACACACCCATAGAAATAAATGGCTGGCAGCCCGGAATGGCAGTTCCCCAGCACACGGTGTTATTACTTTTTCGAGATGTGTAGCCAGCCTTGCTGGACACAGCACACATTTTTCCAATGTATATACCCCCAGACAGGTATACTGTGTGCTGTATGGATGTCCATATGCACACACTAGAACAGAACTGGTGTAGTGATCCGTCGGGAACTGAATCCCATAACGTGCAATTAGTTCAGAAAAAATACCTACGGTAGATAAATCACTCCAGGTACGTCAAAGGGACGTCTCCCTCTGATATCGCTGTGACATCTGGCCGTCTTTGTTGGCACAGGAACCAGAGTCACACCTGTGCCCCCTGCTCTGTAGAATTATGGCAGCAAACTTAAATGATGCAAGTTCAAATCACTGAAAGGAAGTTTTTCGTCTATACAGACGTTTCACGCACACACCCGGTCGGAGCCGGGTCAACTCTGAAAGGCAAGAGGAAGAAAAAAGCGGACACAAACGACGGGCAAAAGGCTAAAAAAGCGCAGGGGGGGAAGGGAACAAACGGACCTCCAGAACCAACCCACGCGGCGAAACGGACCTCACCAACACAGAGCACACACCTAAATCATTTAATATTTCATTTATTATATTTAATATATAATATATATGATGTTTTATATATATATATTATTTTTTAATTTATTTTATATATTGTATATAGTTTTTTTAATCATATAATATATAACATATTATATTTTTTACCTTATACATTTTTTTTTTTATTTTATATTATTATTATTATTGTTATTATTATTATTATTATTATATATATACTTGAAATATAAATATATATACAGGTGAAGTGTATCTAGCTACACTCCTTAGGCCCCTCAACTCACTCCAGTCGTTTTTTTTCCGCAGACCTAAGTCAAAAGGGCGAACTGCAACATTGGCAGGTGCGGATGGTAAAATTTTTCTGACTTGGGATTCTTGTTGTTGAATATCCTGCGGTAGTCCACCGTGACAGGGATTCCAAATGACCAAATGCAGAATTCAACCATCGGAATTGGTGATATTCATCGAAGCAAATGGAGATATCATGGAGATGTAGTGGGGTTACATCAATTTTGTCGGGGGATTAATAGCTATACTATTAACCCTTGACAAGGGGATAAGATAGGGATATCATGTCGTATATACATATATATGTGTATGTATAACCGATATGACAACGAGAAAAACAATCCATGGGCGTGGGTAAATTCCACCGAACTTGCTGCAAGGTCACTGGAAATGATCTTCAGTGTATAGAAAACATGCCTATATCAATGACTTTATTTTAAGTTGGTGAATTCTTACAATTTACCAAAACTTGCCCAGATACATGGAGATGAATGGAGGATTTCGTGTTGCCTAGTTGGGTTTGGAGTTCCTTCATTCGGTTTTCACATTGCTTGACGTTGGGGCTGAGAGTCACATTCAAACCTCTGTTCGTTAGTAAGCGGCAACTCAACATAGGATATTTATTTTCAACCCTATTTCATCCCACCCTTGGATGGGTAGTTTAATCCT